ACGTTCAAGCAGAGAATGATGCGATGCAGTGCAAAACTTGTCTGGTACCTCTATATATGCATTTAGATTAACATTCGAAGTCCCTTCCTTTTTACATATTCTGCACAGCATACTTTGTGTACTTGTCACACAATACAAAATTCATATATTTGTGTTGGCACCGAATACTACGATGAAGCAAGCCAAAACCTTCATGACCAGGAATCTGTTCCACTATAGAACGAAAGATAATCCAATCATCGTTGCGGGGGATTCCAACGTAGACATCTCGAAAGCTGAGAATATTCGATTCGTCCAATTTATGACGAATTTTCTGCAACTCGATCTCGTATCAGACCCTAGACTGCCGACTACATTGGGTGGCACTGGCATCGATTTGGTGTTTGAAAGGAAAATACCGGAATTGCCAACCAAAAGGTTTATTACGTACTTTTCGTACCATCGCCCCTTTTTTTTACCTTGTTGTCTGCTGTAAGTTTCGGAATAATTCTTGAATATGGTTGATCATTTGCCTTATTTTATAGCCACCGACGACACAGTAGTGGCAGTAGGATGTTTACCTTTTGAACTGGGTGTTCACAGTATCCTTTTACAACAACGTCACCTTACATACCGTTCATTTTAAAACCACATCACCAAAACGGTCCTTTCGAGGGCCATGCAACATCAAAACAGCCCTTTTCAGGGCCACCACAATTTTCAAAGAAAGAGTTAGTTTGGAATATTTTCTAACACAAGAATAATTACACATGAACTGAAAAAGAATCTTATTAGTATTAAAAGGAAAATGGACACTGACCAATTATTACGCTTCGGAAGCAATTCACGGATGTCATAATAATATTGGGAATTACAAATAACGTTCATTCAAAATAGTTAACATATGTGAGTGTAGTCCTACGTCAACTGTTCGCACAACCCCATTGGGCTTGTAGTTTTTTTTTTTTATTTCGTCCCACTGTGCAACGCCGGCAAAAATCTGCCTTTTAAAAACATTTACAAAAAAAAAATTACAAAATGTAAACAAAGAACTGCCAGATGTAAAAAAGAAGTGAGGTTATCTTGACGATGCAGCTCCCTATAGGGTCGGTTGAACATTACTTTTTTGACATCAGGTGGTGGTTTGAATTTTTGAAAGAAAATAGTCGGATAGCATATATTTTGTTCCATTTTATTTAAAAACTCGAATCCACTTGAATCGACTAACAGGCAAAGAAAAACAAACCACCACTGGAGGTTAAACTGATGAACGTGGGTTCATCGCGTTAATTCGAGACGTCAGCGTGCAGCATCCTATAGACCTACACGGAACCGAAAAATTACCCAAAATTAAGTTCTTTTCATTCCTCTCCCATGTTCCGTTCAATAAGCTAATTTTCAGTAATCCGCTTACATTTGACTACGGCAAGAATAATTACTTACGCGTTGAGTTCAAATGACTCAAATTTGAGAATACCTCATATACTCATACAGTGACTCAATTCCGAATTCGTACACCACCATACAGATTTTTACTCCTAAGTTTCTAAGAGTCAATAAATATTTTTTAGACATTTCATGTATGTACAGTCATAGCCTCAAATGTGAAAAACAATGCATTATTTTTATTTCTGATAAAATGAATATTATTTTCTTGAAAATAATAAAAAATAGCATGAATGCCGAAAATAAACTCAAATCCATATTCGTACAATTTTTCGGTTTAATACTTCGTTTACTCATTGCTACTGCCATTTAATACCTTTACTCATTGCTACTGCCTTTAGGCGTTTTGGAATGCTGTCTACAAGTTTCTGGGTGTATTCAGTGGGAATTTTTGTCCATTCTTCGAGCAAATGTTTCTTCAGATCGTTTTTGTTTGAAATATGGTGGCTTCTAACTTTTTTATCAAGATATTCCCAAAGATTTTCAATGGGGTTGATATCCGGAGATTGTGGTGGAGTATCAATAACTTTTGAGCAATTGTAAAGCAGCCATGAACGTACTTTATGTGCTTTGTGTTTTGGATCGTTATCTTGGTAAAACTTAAACTCTTCATTTAATCCCATTTTGCTGGCGCTTTGCTTCAAATTTTCTTTTAGAATGTTTAAATATACATTCTGATCCATTATGCCTTCGATGAAAACCAAGTTGTCCACACCTTTAGCAGACATACAACCCCATACCATTACCCCTCCTCCACCGTGTTTAACCGTCGGTTTCAGATTTTTTACATTCAGTTCATCGTTTGGCTTTCTCCAGACAAAACGACGACCATCTGAGCCGAAGATGTTGTATTTGGACTCATCAACAAAGATGACATTTGTCCAGTAGGTCGATGGAGTGTTTTCATGCTGTTTAGTGAAATCAAATCGAAGCTTTTTATTTTTCTTGCTAATGAATGGTTTTTTTCTCGGTACACGGGCGTTGAAGTTGTTCCTTCTCAACACAGAACGAACCGTTTCCGGGCAGACCTTCACTACATTTCGCTGATTCAGTTCTTTCGTGATGTCAACAGCTGTTGTTTTTGGATTTTCTCTTATTTGTCTCATTACAAATCGTTCATCTGCCGCTGTCAACTTTTTCCTATTTAAGTTTCTAGGAGAATCGGCAATCATTTTCTCTTCTACAAACCGTTTAATGATGTACTGAACTGTTGATCTGGGTCTTTTCACCATGGTCGCAATTTCACTGAGTGATTTCCCCTCTTTATGGTGAGCGACGATAAGCTTTCGCTCCACAACTGACGTATGTTGACCCTTCCTCGCCATCGAAAAGATTTGGATCCGCAGCCTTTACTTAACAGATGCTGTTGAGTGAAAAAAAACCACACTTAGTAAGGAAAACAACTGTACGAATTCGGGATTGACCTGTTTTTCCGTGTTTAAAATATGGCTCAACGCGTAGGAAACCAAAACATGATTTTTCGAATGAAACAACTACTGCGCAATGATAGATGGTAGTCACACTACTACATCCACACCATGCCTTTAATATTAGATCTTAGATGTAGATGTGAGAGCATAATGATCAAACCCATTAAGGGTGTACGAATTCGGAATTGAGTCACTGTATTTCTTTCTTCTCTGAGTGAGATTGAACGGCCGTGTATGTCCTGCATTGTTCTAAGAATTGATAACTGTGAAAAAATATGCATTAGGATCGGAATTCCAATTTCAGCGAATGCTAAGCTAGAAATTATATTGGTATGCGTTTTATACTGTTAGTAATCCTTTCCCCTTCCCAGGTTTGCTCAATGTACATATCCAGCCTGAAAATGTCCGCGACCTAAAACTTGCCAACATCACCAAGATTGCCTCATGCGCCAACCACGTGGTCATCTTAACAGCAGACGGCAATTTATTCCTAAACAGAAATCCTCTGAGCAAGTCGCCATCTCCAGAATTGCTGCTTTCAGGCAAAAATGTGCTGGACGTAACCTGTGGACAATCCAGAACATACGTCGTTACGCATGACCTTAAGATATATGATGCAAATTCAAAGGACAACTATATAAGCTACGATCATAAAGCCAACACAAAAGAAAAGGATCATCTGAAGGATCTTGATTTGGATGATGTACCGATGATACTGGCAACTGACCAGCTGATCCTGGTCAATAAGCTACCCATACAAAAAGCACCCATAAACCAATATGTGATGCTTTGCAAGTTTATTTCGATATTGAGTGAAAAAATCTCCAATCATTGTAGTGAAGAGCGAAAGATTTCGGATCATGAGCTGAACGATCTGGAGTATATAAACAACATTGTACTGGTGGAAAAATTTAAACAGTCTTGTAATAATTTATACTACTTGCTGATACTGAACGTGACATCTTTGCGCAAATTTCTTCTGGAAGGTAATGCCTCAGCAATTATAGCAGTACAAATGCACAAGGAGCTTGTTCATCAATACCAAGAAATGCTGACAAATTATTGCAATGCTATCTCGATTGGAGTGACGTCCTTGGAGCAATCAACTTTCAAAATATTTGACGTCTTTATAGAAAACTTGAAAAGCATCAGTTTGCTGGTAGATGGTTTGAGTTTACCAGGAATACAAGAAGTCTGGCAAAAATTAAATGATACGGTAGCTGAAGAGATCGAGTTGGCTCAATCTACTGCAAGCTTTTGGAGCAATCAGAAGAACGAAGCATGGTTCTCGCTTAAAATACCTCATCGTCGAGTTGTGCTGGATTCTTTGAGCAATCCTTTGAAGCAGTCAATATTATCAATATTCTCATGGTCTTCACGAATAGTCCTGTTCTCTGACGTGATCGGTTACATTAGCGGCGATAAGGAGCTGGTTGTGTATCCCTTAGAGCTGGTTTGGCTGACGACCAATGGAAAGCCGGATAAGAAGTTCAAGCAGAAGTATCTATGCCTGATTACCCTGTACACACCAGACGAGGTGATATACCGTTATGCGTTGAATAAGGAGAATACAAAAATCTGGGTGGAAAAGTTAGAACACTATATTCGTAAGAATTTAGAGTTTCGAAGTGGTTCGTATCTATTTCGGGAAGGACACGACAAATATGGTGGCATGCAGTACGAAGGTTTCTGGAGGCTGGGAAAAATTGATGGATTCGGCAAACTGCATGGCCAGCATTGGAAGTACGAAGGAGAGCTGCATCGAGGTGAAATACGTGGATATGGGCGAATGACGAGGGCGGACAACGATGGTGTCAAGGAGTATAAAGGTACTTTTTAAACTTTATATTTGAATATTTGAAGTAACTTAGCACTTATTTTAATTATATCACGGTTAGGTGATTTCATCGATGGAAAATTTCACGGATATGGTACACTGAAAGTCGCTACACCTACAATGCAATGGCAATATGAGGGTTACTTGACAAATGAGGAGTTTGATGGATTCGGAACATTGGAAAAGGGAAACCATTGCTACAAAGGAGGTTTCACGAAAGGTTTAAAGCAAGGATTTGGCGTGTTGGTGTATAATGATGTAGAAAATCATCAGAAAAGTAAATACATAGGCATGTTCTCCGATGACAAAATGAACGGCAAAGGAATCATGGTAATTAATGATACAACGTGTATCGATAAGAATTGGTGTATTGTTGGTCATTTTGAGGATGATAAGCTGCATAACTCCGAAAAAGGAGTCGCAATCTTTCGCGATGGAAGGTCATATGAAGGACCGCTTACCTTTGAGGGGCCGATTGGAAATGGGACCTTCTTTCTACCCAGCAATGATCTGGAAAAAAATGCAATAAATCCTAATATAACCGAAGAAAGCGGATATGGGCTTTCTGGATGCTTTGGAGGAACGTGGGATGATGTTATCGTTAGCAATGGCAAACTGCAAAGGACCAAACAGACAAGTGCTGTATTGTGGTGAGAATCTTTTGATCTATAGCAATTTCGGTTAAGTATTTCTAATCAATGTTAATAATCACAGCTTAAAAGATCACATCCCAGTCGAAAGTATATGGTCATCCGTTTTTACCAGCTTTGCAAAGCACGTTTTCGGGCTCGATAACATTGACGAACTGGGTGACGGAGCCGAAATCTGGAACAAGATAGCCATCAACATGGGTCGGGCAAGGCGCAAACAGCTGCTCGAAAAAGCTGGTTTCGAGGACAAATTTTCCGATTTCGACTACGAATCAATCGCTAGATTTTGTCAGGAAGGTCATGAACTGACTTTGTCGTCCGAAACGCCAGAAAAATCACTGAATGACACGGTAGATTTAAAAGATAACAATTTGACTTTATCAGACATACTGAATGTCGTTCCTGAATTCGGAAGGACCGAAATCGATGATAAAGATTGGAGGAAATTGAAGGAATACCTTAGCAATGCATTTGAGAACAAGGTCCATCCGCTGTACCATCTTTACGATATTCTTGTGAACTGTTTCGTCGGAACATACTCTCAACCGGAAAAGGATTCATTCCTTTGTGAAGTAGCGAAGCAAGAACTGATGGCAATGATCGATCGTATCTACACCTCATTTATAGTGCGTATGTTTCCAGCTTTGAACAATTTAAACAAGTAAGGAAGTAGCTCCGAAGTAAGATTAACTATACTGCCGGTGGACGCAAAAATGTAATCTGTCATCTACGCACATGGGACAGTTATGCATCCGCCGTCAGTTTATCACTCACCTGAAGGTTACTAAATGGTTGTTTTTTTCCAACATACAGTGACCTCAATCCGCTTGAACTGATGTATCCGATTGTTTTGACCGATACAATCTATCTATCACTGCTTCAGCTGTACGTACATCAGTATAGAAAGTTGGACGAACTATACCGACAAAAGATGCTATTCTTCGAAGGTCGAACAGATGAGTTTATCATGCAGCATATGGAATACAAAGAGTATGTTTTGTTCATTTCACTATTGCCACAGACAAACAGATATAACACATTGAATATTTCTCATAGTAAAACATCGTCGCTAAAACATTACCGCCATCTGTTGAGTACACTATGGTGGGTAGTACGCAGAACGGATGGCAGTAGTGTGTAAACGTGTAAACGTAAGGAAATTGACGATGCGCGCCACAGGTGGCGGTACTACCAACTATGATACTTTTAAATTTACCGTTAAATGCTTGCTCAATGAACAACTTGCGAGTGTTACACACTTAGTTTTTTTTTTCTACCGAGCTCGGCTGTGCTGTTTGTCTGTGCTATTACCTTTATCATGTTCCACACACTTCATCTTCTTGTTACAGGGCTTATATGCTGAATAATATCAATTTCAAACAAGCGGTGGATCTTTTCACCAGCATCAAGGAAAAACGCACTCCTTGCAAAACGATGGATATTATACGAATAGTTTTCAATCTTCTCAACACCACACTGGTTGAGAACAGTAAGTTGGATGATTTTTTTTTTTAATTATTATTGAAATGATTAGCAAATTTTAATTCTTATAGAAAAAGACGGCGCCGATGCCCTGATGCCGCTAACGGAGATACTCGTAGTGAAGGCGAATGTACCGCATTTTGGTGCAGAAATCAGTACCTTGACAGGGTTGATGACCTTTGATGGAAACATCGATTACTTAATTACAATGTTGCAAGCCATGTACAAACATTTGCTTAATGTGAATCTATGCATGCCGGAAAACTGATAAGTGGTAAAGCTAAGAAGTGGCTTTGTACAGACCGTTGTAGTACCTATTTACGAAAATATATTCTGTAGCATGGTCAATCGTACAAGCGGATTGTTATACTCAAAAAAATATGCACGTCCGATCTACGTGAAAACATAAGTAGCTTTCGTCCATCCTACTTTTCACGTAACATTTACGTTAATATCATGTAGCCAAAAACATTCCCATTCAGTGGTCAACGTGAACAGGCGTGGTGGTTTGCCCCGTAACTTGGGTAGTTCACCTTTTCGTGGTACGTTACGGGATGTAAGATCTACCACCGATTCCTAGTTCTGACTACTTCAAACTAGGGGAAGGATTTTTCAGTAATCCAAGGAACACATCTTAGTTCTTGTTACTTTTTATGCCTTGTTGATAGTGACAAGACTCGGCTTTGTCCACCGAGGATGATCTTGAAACAAGGAAAACATGAGTTAGTTGGGCATCTATGTGATTCCTAATATTCTATTCGTTGTTCCCTAGACTAGGGTTCTGATGCATGGTCATTATCGGTGCCATTCCCTAATTTTGTTGCTAAGGAATACAATTTTGACTGACAAAGGGGCGCGCCTTTGGAGGGTGTTTCAATACTCTGAAGGGTATAAATAGTGGGACCTTTCAATTCTAGATAGAGCTGGAATAAGGGCGTAACAGCCTTTGTAAACAATGACTTATCTCGTTGATTTCTAAGAATTCAAGGCACGCCTACACCAACCAACATATCCATCGGGCAGGGTAAGTCTTCCCTTACTCGATGGTGATGTCGATTTGCCAGTGAGAGCCATGACTTTCAAGCAGAGTTAATGTACACGTGCATCCATCCCGCGTGATAGAGACACGCTTGCTATAAGATCGTAGGTGCCTGGTACATTTCGAGACGTATTATTTCGCGTTTCTTTTTTGTTTCTGCGTGCCTCATTCGTGTCACATGTGCTGTGTCTCATGAGCTAAGCTCGGCGAGCTCCAGGGAGATCGGCAGCGTACCTACGTCCTGCGTGCATGCTAAAAGTGGCTGGTTGGTGGAGAACTGTTGTAGTCCTGTCACATTCTCGTGTTGCTGGTACAACTGATTGATTTCAATCAGTTGATATTCAGTTTTTGAGAGTTGAAAGATTGTGGTTTTATAGAAGTATTTCAAGCGGAAGATGTGTTAAACGATTACGAACCAATTACCGGCGGGGTTATTTGCTACCGATCCATGCGCATGGAATTTTCATGGTTCAAAATATTGATTTAGCTCCATCAAGTTCAAACGATTTCAAATCAGCACCTGATCATACCTGATCATCGAACGGCGTTCGGTTACAACGAACCACTAACAACTATGATGCGTACGTTTACGGCTGTCGAAGAATTATTCGAATTTGGGGAATCTTCATCTCGCTTTTTGGCACGGATTAGAAACACTTGAATTGTTTTAGCTTTAAGGTTGTTTCATGTAGACAATAGTCCGATGAATAAAATTAAATAATAATAATAATAATAATAATAATAATAATAATAATAATAATAATAATTCTCACAAAATTTGTTCTCAATAGGATGCGAACTCATATTGCACTTGGCCCTTTGAAGTTTTTGTGGGAATTGGAAAATTGAACGTTAGGATTATTAGTTATTGATTGATTAGGAAGATAATGTTCTTCTGACATGGTTCATTTACTGTTCAGCAGACAAAAAATTGAGGCTATTATGTCATAAGGGCAAGATGCAGTGTTGCCCTGAAAACAGCCGATTAATCCTACCAGCACGTTATCAACTTGGAAATTAATTAAGAACAAATTTTCTTGACATTCAACAAAGTTGTAGCTGGGAAATTTTCACGTAAGAGGGGGGGGGGGCTCTGATGGACAACTTTTCCGTAAATCATTATGGTGCAGGGCTAGAACGATGAGGACAAAAAATACACTTTTCTTATAGTAATTCCCATATAAACTTCAAAGAGCCAGTGCAGAATCAGTTCGCCACCAAATTAGTTCAAATTTTGGGATATTGATCAGCCTGATTTGGATCCGATTGATCTTGGTGGATCAAATTGATAGGTATTTTGCAGCTGGCAGAGAACCAATAGTTCGGAGGGCCCTTTAAAAAAAACTTCGTTGTTGAAATTGATTCGTATGACTTCATCCATCAGTATTTTCAGCCTTTCAAGCTGTAGCCGACATAACTAGTTAATTCAAACATCTACTTAAATTTGAGAACTGTTCAAATATATTTAGACAAAAAGCATGGTATGTTCGTCCCAAGTAGAAGTCAACCTGAAAATATGATGAGAAATAAGAAAACTGGATTGTAAATTTTGGGATGAATCCAACATGTTTGTCACACTCAACGGTCAGTATATGAATCGAAAACCATGTTTTCCAAAATGTTTATTTAGTAGGTTCAATATCTTTGAAAGCTCTGTGGAGCCGAAGGACTAAACAAATATTCCAATGGAGATCTAAATCGATTTCCTATATTATTTTTTTTTTGTTTGCAACGTATCGAATCTCGACAGATCCACAAACCCTTTCTGTCGAGGATGCTGATGTTCGTTTTTGCATGCTTTATCGGCCTCCTGGTCCTGAGGGCACGTCCATTATCACTACCTCTTCATGCAGCACTTCTACCACTTCCTCTGTTGATTTGCTGGTGCTGTCTGACAATGCACCTACAGCCACTACACCAGGGTACGAACTGCTATCCGAGTTGCAAGGAATTTTGTAGTTCTTCAAGAAACTTCTTGGTACTTCAGGGAACTTTTTAAAAGTTCAGGAAAATTTCTTGAAGTGCAGATTTTTCTTTAAAGTTCAGCTAACTTTGTAGAAGCTCACTGAACCTTATTGAACTTCGTAGAGTTTCATCGAACTGCTTCGATAACTTTTCTTCTACGTTCCTGAAAAAGTTATAAGACAACGACACTTCATACACCTTGCAGCTCGTAATTGACAGTATGGGCTGAATGAGGCTATTCATACTGTCGCTAATGTGATTAGTAACACTTATGCTTCGTTTGACACTAATGTTCCGTTAACTGTTTTCACTAGAACATTATATTATGTTTTATGCATTAAGACCAATATATGTCAGATGAATCATGAGCTAAATTTAGTGAAATTATTTGAAATTATGAGATCATGGAAAAGTTCAGAAAAATTCGTAGAAGTGGGAACTTTATACAAGTTTAGGTATCTTCGTAGAAGTTTATTGTTTAATGGCAGGGAACCTCTTTATTATTCAGGGACCTTTTTTATAACTTCAGAGCTTTGATGAAACCTCATGGACTTGAAATAGTTCAGAGAATTCCGCACAAATTCAGTAAATTTCGGGCGTCGAGCTTTGCGCAAAATCAACGAGAAACGTAGACGTGAAGCAAGCTTGGATGAAGTTTTGTGGACTGCGTAATAATTCGAGGAACTGCGTATAACTTCATAGAAGTACAGGGCATTTTGAAAAAGTTTAGGGAATTTCGTAAAGATAGAATACTTTAGGGATCTTCGTTTCAGTTTAGGGAACTTCATAGCAGTTTGCCAGAGATTTTAAAAACCTCAATGAACTTCCTGAAGATGAAGATTTTGGCCCACCGTTTAATTTCAAGGTACTTTGAAATTTGAGTAAATTTTCTAAAACCTAAGGAAATTTTGTAGATGTTCAGGAAACGTTGCATAAGTAACAGGATATTCTTTCAGATATGCTCCCTATACAGCCAGGAAGTTTTAAAAGATCAGCATTTGCTGATGTTCTTCTGATCTGAATTAGAGAGTTGCTAAAAAAAGGATGACTTAAGAATGTGCTTAAGTTTTTGAATATCATAATTTTTCAAATGGATAGATCAACTTTCAACACGGTATTTTCCAAATTTAAACCATACACTCTGGTAACATGGTGGCAACATGGTGATTTGATCGGTTGATCTGTTGCAGGTTGTAGCAATGGCTGTACCACTTTCTGGTTTGTTGTAGCGAGATGGTGGTCACTTTGTGGAATTGGTGCCGATACTCAGGCACTTCCTTCTGACACTGTTGGTATACAAAGGCAAGGTCGCCCCGTTATCTAACCGAAAAGGTTATTTCTTCTTAGCGATTACGGACATTGACGCGAAAACGATGCCATCGAAATCCGCAGAGCAATGGTCAGCAGAAGCCACCTAGATCGTACCGTGCCAACCAGAAAGCGATTTGAAGGAACAGAACAGAAGGTCGGTAGACTTGGTGATATTAATAATTGGAATGGTAAATATATCACTGCACTGGTCTACACGCTCATCTGAGTTAAAGCCAACGATGCCCGCTCATGTCACTATTTTGCTGCAACTATTTAGCATATACCGCGCCATCACCCAGTGGGTCACCGCTTCTGTTATAGAATTTATCTGAATGCTCGATCGCATGAGGCACATTAAAAAAAAATCTGAACATTTTTAAAGTAATGGTAACAAAGTACAAGTGAACGTGTAAAGGTAATACGCCAAGAAAAAATGTTCTGCAAAAAAATCTATCACCCATTGAATTATCATAACATTGCTGCATTTGTAGCATTCCGATATAATCTATTCGTATTTTGAATTCCATCTAACAAAATATACCAGTTGTGTTGCCGATGAATGGTTAAATTTCGTTGAAAATGTGTGAACGTCATGCAACGGTCAAATCCCCGTACTAAACAATACCGATTCACTTTTTGTAGAATTTTTGTCCATTCTATATTTTGAAAATAACGTGTGTGTTAGTCATGCAAGTGCAGTTAAGTGTTGAACCGGAAAAAATAAACAAAGAATATTCTAATTGACCGGCAAATTAATGGCTTTTGCTATTAGAGGATTTCAAGAATTTAAGCACTGCAAATATATGCTACCTTTCCTCTAAAATAGAATTTGTGCAAACGCAAATGAAATGTCGGTCAAAGCAACCAAGTTTCAACAGCCTGTATTTCGCTTACTTACACCTTCCAGAACTTCGAGCTTAGCTTCGCCAGGATTTTTGGGTGTCGCGTTTGTTTCTCGCTCGTATCTTATTCTCG